TCGTAGAGCCGAGCTGGCAGTCACGAGTGCCGGAAGGATGGGGCCGTGTTGTACGAATGATCATTGCCTTGTCCACAGGAAATGAACGAAATGATTCTCGACATCTTGACATGCTTGCCAATGGTGCAGTCGTGCGCTACAGGCTCCTCGTATTGTCAGATGCCGCCTTAACGTGTGTCGACGCACTGACCATTTTCTTTCTTTCCACATGTGGAACACCACGCAGGTCTCTCGCGTAACGGTTATTTGAACCTTCCCAAAAAGTGGCCCATATAGGTCTTCTATGTAGCGTACACTCTGTCATATATCAATATATCATATATGTATGTAATATATAACGAGACCATGTCAAGACACACATTGGTCACTTCGTTTGCATCCACATGCAGAATGGCAATGCATGAACGCAACAGAGACGCTTCTTACCAATGCGCGGCGTCTCCCTTGCAGGAGTATATCGACGCTCGTACATGCCTAACGTTAGTCGCAGGGCAGTGCTTTAAAAGGACATGGACTTTGATGTAAACACATTTTCATTCTCGTCACGTTCATTATGCATCGCCTTGTCTAACAGGAGCTTTTCTTAGTATGGTCGCAAGGACACAAAAACCTTAGTCCATCAGTCAAATATGTACAAAACCCCAATCCGTCTACCATGAAGGACACAGAGCTGCCGGATACGGAGCAGCTTGGCAGGGATGCCCACCCACGTACATCCCTGTCACATCTCAGGATAGCCCACGCCCTGATGCTGGTACTTTCACTCGCGTCGATGTGGAAGATGGGGAGCCGGCGCGAGCTCCTTGTGGGAACGGAGATCACAGCATCCATCCCACCGATCGAGCGCAACAAGAGTCTCTTTTACGTCACCACCCATCTTTCTCCGTCGCACTACGAGTTTTTTAAGAAATGCTGGCCGTCTCTCCTTGCTAAGAGCCAATTATACAAGGAATCAGACTTTTTGATTTTCGTCACTGGATCGAATGCCAGCAATATCGATTGGAGCGTACTAAATGCTACCTTTGCCAACGCGACATACGCCGTGCAAGTCATGGATAATCCTGGATACCAAGAAGGAGCCATGTTGGCGTTGACCGAGGCGTTCAGTAAGCACTGGTTCGATGGTTACGAGTGGGTGATACGTGTCAATCCCGACGTGCTGATCCGGAACGATACGTTTTTGCGGAAGAGTATGCAAGACTCGAGCATCAAGGGGATTTTTGCGGACTGTTTGGAAACGCCTTGTGCAACCGGCACAAACTGCACGAATAGACTGATCCATACGGATTTCTTTGCGATCCGACCCGAAGCTGTCTCTGAGCAAGCTGTTTTGGAAGCAAGATCGAAGCAAACGAATGCCGAACGAATGGCTACTCAAGCCTTTTCCAGCATAGTGCTCGCCGGGGCTGATAGCTGGGTTCCGAACGTAGGACCCCTTGGTATGCAATGTCGTGTCGGAGGTGTGGCTTCTCCAGTGATGCACACTCACAATCAACGGCAAGTTCATCCCCAATGCCTGTCTTGGTATGACTAGCCATTGAGTGGTCTCCAGTCAGAGTCTGACGAATTGAGTACTATGTGCCAGGTTTGGTCGACTGAGGACAGCATCACCTCACAAAATGGTGCGAGGGTCTGTATAATCGCCGGGCGCAGCCATGGGTTTGTGAGCTGTCATCCCGGCTGAAGCAGCGGATGAGAATGGAGAGATGGAAAACGAGTAGACTACAAGAGCTTGTAGGGCTTTGCTTTGTGCGAGGGATATGTTTGGACGATGGTTACCCAATAGTTTTGTGACAAGCACATACGTATATACATATATACCTATATATACATATATAGATATCTTTAGATATATGTATTAAAAGGTATATTGCTATGACGCTGCTGTAGCGGTAAGCTTATGATAGCAAAGTCGTTGATGATTTCATTGGAAAAAAAACGGAAAACAGAAAATCCAAGACGTTGGTTCCTCTGCTTCATCAGTCTGCAAGCTTACAATTTGCTTTCGCGATCAAGTTTCACAATTGCGTTGAAAACTACTGGAGAGCCACCAACATAAAGAATGCAATCCCTGCGTGTGGATAGCCAAAGCCTGTGTAGAGGTAAGAAGTCACCTTTTGCCAGTCTTTGGGCCAAGAATGTCGCACACGGATCTGTGGCTTCTCGGACACAAGGTGAATGCGCCCGTATTCCCTTCCTCCTGTACCTGTTGCGGTATATCAGCCTGTCCTCCGTTAGGACGACAGCTAAGCCGCTTCATTCTCCCTACCATGCCTCATGTTCGTGCGTCAAATGATCGAAGCAAAGGCATTGGCAAGCGGACCTTTTCCATCCGACCCTGCTCTTCAATCTATGCTGACTTCCCTCAATCGTCGCCGTGTCGCCCTTGACAGCTCTAAGCGCCACCAGCTGCGTGAGTACCAAAAAGCAAGCTTCGACACTCCTATCCTACTTTTGTCATAGTCATTTTTTGCCCATTTTGGGGCAAGCTTCCAAGCTTCCCTACTTCCCTTCTTTTTTGTCTATGATACACACTCCTAAGCAAAAATGAACGGTATGCAAGAGCAAATCGAGACGGTCTTCTATCCCCTCCAAACCGCGTCTCCAAGTTCGTCCTCACGCGAAAACTCTACAGATACAAAATCTTTCTCTCTCTATCTCTCCCTCTCTCTCTCACTCCCTCTCCCTCTCTCCCTCCCTCTCCCCCTCCCTCTCTCCCTCTCTCTCTCCCTTCCAATCTGCTTTTCTCCCGCTCACACATCCTCTCCCTCCCACTGATGCTCACGCACCCATAGATGCAGGCACACCCTATCACTCTGTAATCCTCCTCCCTTTTCTTCCTCGATGCATCCCTTGCATATCCTAAACCGACGCGACCTGTGTGTGTTTGTCGCTCTTCGTCGACCCCATGGGAGGACGGTCGCGTCGCCTGCTGGGACAGTTCCTTCCCTCCACAGGTCTCTGCCGCCCTCTTAACCGCATCATGAGGAAGGCGCAGGAGACGACTCTTGGTACCGCTGGTACTCCGGCAAGCCCTGGTTGACCGTTTCAAAAACCTGCAGCGGGGGGGGGGGAGCAGGGGAAGGAAGGCGGGATCAGGCCTCGAGGCGTCCCACTCTTTTGCCCCTGCGCCGCCCCGCCTTTCCAAACCATGTCCCCCCTATCATTCTTTTTTTTCTTTCTTGAACCCCTCCCCCCTCCTGTTTTCCTCTTTCTCCCTTCCCTTCCATCCTCTCGTCCCCTCGCTCTCACCTCCCGCCAGACAAGGTTCTCGTTCCGATTCTGGGTTTCGACGGGCGGATGGATGCGGATGACCACGTCCGACGGCACCCCTGCCAAAGAAGAGGGGAAGGAAGAAGGGGGGGAGAGACCGAGGGAGGGGAGGGAACATGGTGAGTGCAGGTATGCTCCAAAAGGAGGGGAGAGCCTCCGCGGGGGGGCTAGAAACGACGGTGAGTCGACCAGGCGAGCAAGAAGGAGGGTATGAGGGAAGGAGGGAGGGAGGGAGGGAGGGAGGGCAGGGTACCAAGTGGGACGATGGCTCCCGCGGGCATCCATTTATGCAGGTTGCAGATTGATATCGGGACGATGCGGACCCCAGCCTCCTTGGCAATGCGAAAAGCGCCCTTTTTAAACGCGTTCAAACGGCCTGGATGGCAACCAATGAAAGGCAAAAAAGGGGGGAAAA